AAAATTTCGCGAGAATATAACAAAAAAATACGAATTCGATTGGAGCAAATCGATGATCTTTGGTAAAGATTTCATCATCAACCTTGATTAAAAAGTCCAATTCGGCAAAAACTCTGCTAGATTTTTGTTTGAGTTCCTGTGGTACCGAGCGATCGTCCTGTAAATATTTGGTGATGACACCAGGATTCGCGCTGAACTTGGTCGGATTGAGTTCCATCATGTGAAGCGCCTGTACAATTAGTTGAAATGGTTTACCGCGTTTATTATCTACTATCTTATTAATGGATGGGTATTGCTCAAGAATATTTTTAGCAAGTTCCGCGATTGGAGAAGTGAAAACGTGTAATTTTTCTATTGAAAAGAAGAAATCAAATAATGAAAAAAAAAAAAAAGATAAATAAATATATATATATGTGATTCATACCTGCCGTAGTCAATGCCAATCCAAGTTGCACGCGACTAAAGATTTCTTGCTCTTGCAATATAGTCAGATCATAATACTCGACTAAAAAATAAATGATTAAAATTTACGTTTGTTAATCGAACTTCTTTTTTAAAAAAAGTAATTGAAAACTGTTTCAATACGCACTACAAACTAATTCGGAATTATCGAAATCTTCTTTTTCTCCAACCGATAAGGCATTCGAATATTGCTCATCATCATCAATATTCTCATAATAAGTCTTTTTCGTTCTTCCTTCACTTGGGCAGAGATATGGAATTTCATTGTTCATAAATCTAGATGACAAATGAAATTAAAATAAATGAACAAGTTTTTTTTTTTTTTATCATTATTAATCGTTACCTTCGAATTGAAGTCAATCTTTGCTTGCCATCTATACAAATACGTAACCATCTATTTCTATCCAATTTCTTGCAGGAAAATAAGATGGGTGGGACGTAATAGTTTTTGAGTATCGAATCGATCAAATGACATTGTTTAGTATTATTCCATACAATATCTAAAAAAGGAAAAACAAATTTGATTAAATTAATTAAATTAATTAAATATTTCTTTATTTATTTATTAATTTATTTATATGTACCGCGTTGAAATTCTGGGTTCGTGTCAATCAAGCCTCTCTCCATCCAATCATATAACTTGTATAGGGTATGATTAACATTTCTTGGTTTTGTTAAAGCTTCAGTCATCTTTTGATTAATAACGTGAAAGAAAGATATTCTCAAAGGAAAATTGTTTTTTGGTTAACAGAGTTGAAAACTTATTTTTCTAAGAGGTGCTTTTTATTAGCAATTGTATATTATTCATTACATTTTTAATAACCTTTTTCCGAACATTACTCATTACTTTTTTCTATCCAAACAGTCATATATAAGCTTTTTTTTTTTTTTTTTTTTAAATTATTAAGGGTATTGATATACAGATTGAGAATAACCAACTTATAACTAATAAATAACCAAAATCAATCACATCTAGTTTATTTGCAATATTATCGTTCGGTAAGATAAATGAACGGGTATCGGATGGAGAAAGAGTATCTTTTGGGGGAGTTGCTTTGGTGGGAGTTGATTCGGTAGGAGTGATTTCTTCAATTGGAATAACCAAAGGAGGTCTTGCAGCACCTTTCGTGAATGAAATACTAGCGGTAAATTTTGTTTCATACTTATTAGGATTAACAACTCCCAAACAATAAATCTGCTCGCTATCTAAAGGAGGGTCAGTTAATCCTTCACATTTCTGCACAGGTTCGGTACCACAAGATAAATCTGGTAGATATAATACTTTAGGAGCATTTTGATCAATCAATGAACGAATAAATGTATAATTCGATACAAATACAAGTAATCCTTCTTTGTCATATACTTGAGGTCGATTTCCGACTTCATTTATGCCGAATCCGCTTGTTGCATTTTCTGGTGTTTTCACCACTTGCAATATATAATCTGAGAATAAAGAGAAATTTTTTTTTTAGGGCTGGTTGACAATGCGAATGTCGTGCACAAACATTTAAGGATTGACATGTTTACATCTTACAAAAGTCGGGGAAAAAAAAAAAAAAAAAAAAATTTTACAAAAAATACATACTAATATAATTTGTTAAACCTTTACTACAAATATACCAGGTTTGATATTCGGGAATTACGCCAATACCAAAATTTGTGTCCGCTGAATCCTGAGAATATACCACCTAAAAAAATTTTTTTTTTCTCTTAGTTCGAATTAATTATTTACACCGCAAGTTCCGTTTAGGGAGATTTTAGCGTTACCTTTAATATCATTAAAGTGAGATATATTAAAATCATAAATGTCTTCTTTTTAAACATCATCTTTATTTACTGCGCCGATTTTTTTTTTCTCCCTTAAAAAATCTTTTTGTGCAAAATTTATCTTGCTTATAAAGAAAAAAATTTTTTTAAGGGGCTGTGAATCCTTATCTACCAACAAGGCGAAGTAATGTAAACATAATTCTATAAATGATTTTTGTTTAACAAAAACAATCCTAAAAAAAAAAAAAAAAAAAAAAAAAATACCTATTATATAATTAACTATTTTAGTATGACAATAGAGAGCCTTTTTTCCGATTTATAAGATGAAAGCCGCTGGCGGAACGAATCAAACGAGATTTGAACTTATAAACGGTAACGATACTTTAGAAACATACATGGATTCAACATGGAAATTTGTTTGTTTGTTTATCCTTTATTTCATTGGTTATAAAAGAAAAATTTCATATTTTAAAATTCCCTCTAATCCCTCTGTTTCTCTCTCTTCCCATCCCGCTAATAATTCTAAAAAATAAATTTCCTTACTTGGAAATTTGTTCAAAAAATTTATATATCCCACTGCAATGAGACACCCACACGGAAACCTTTAGTAAAAGGCGAAAGGTTTATACGATCTGCAGGTATCTCGTGAGAAATGATATGGATCAACAAACGCAATTTTCGTTCATTTTATAAACATTTAAGAAAATATGGGATTCCCAATGACGTACGTCATCTGATTTGGACCGTCGGAGCGGGGCATTTGAGTTGAACCATTTTTAATTTTTTTTTTATTTTATTTAAAAATAGGTTGTTCCTTGATATGCGCGCAATGCAATCTTATGTCTGTCTCTGCATATACAGCATTTTTCTTTATTTAAGTAATGACAAATAAATTGTCAAGAAACATGCATATACTGTACATTACATATGATTATATGTATACACTTCAATCACCTTAACATACTTTTTTAGTATCAAACAACCTTTTTGGCTAACCATTCTTTCCATTGATCAAAATTCCACCCAGAACTAACTTCATTATCAACTATTTTATCGAATAAAACGGTGGGACTAACATGAATTCTTGTTTCTCTTCCCAATTTAATGTGCAACTTCAAGTCACTTGTGATTTTATTTCCTTCATTACGAGCCTTCTCAATTTCAGATACTACTGGTATATAAAGTAATGAAAGAAACTGAGAATCACTCATTCCAATTTCCTTTACATGTTTAGCCAAAGATTCATAAATTTGTGCCCGACTCAAATTATGCACCGATTCATCAAAGTATCTAAATACAACACAAATAAAAGTGGTTATTCATTTATTTTATTTTATACATCATCATTGTTGTTGTCAAAAGAAAGTTATAAATTTATGCGTACTGTTGTTGAACTTCGAACAACTTATCTGAGAACTGAAAAAACTTTGTTGATTCGATTTTCTCAACAGCGAGTGCAGCCTGGAATACATCGCATAATAAAAATGAATTCAATATAACATATTACAATGTGAATGATAAAGTTACCTCATGAACAACGGTTGAGAACGGATGCCATGGTTGTATTTGGTGCCTAAAAATGAATTGCACTTTTCCGGGATAATTTTCTTCTATATATGGTAAAACTTCCTATAGATTATCGATTATTATCAGTTATTAATTTCGTTAATAATTGAAATTTATTAAGATACTCACATTTCGAACTCTTTTGTATAGTTTAGCAGAGAATGGACACTAAATTGTTTAAAAATAATATCTAAATATCTTTCTCAAATGACATTTTTAGGTGAATGATATGCATGACAAACCACGTAGTCCAAGTAAACTTCTAAAACATGCGGTGCAGTGCTTGCGCCTAAACGATGACCTGAGGAAACGAGAGACATTCTTATTATTAAAAAAAAAAAGTTTTTTTTTTTTTTTAAAAAAAAGAAAATAAAATAAAACGAGTTTAAAAGTTGAGCTTTTAAATTGATAAGCTAAATAGATCGTAAGCTAAGCCATAAGAATCATCGGCGGGGTATCAAATCTTTTTAAGCCACAACCTTTTCTTTATTTTATTTAAAATTTGACTAAATAATACTAACGTTATTTTGAATTACGTAATATAATGTATTTTAACATAATAAAATTATAATTAGACTTAAAATTCTAGCTAAAATCATATTATATATCCATCTAAATAAATATAGTATTGCTTGCTAACTCTACTTTCTCAGCCTCAACTTCAGCAAATTTCTCTCCAAGTTTGGTAATCTCGACTAAGAGCTTGGCATTTAATTATCAATTTTTTTATATAAGATGGAATAATTCAAAAGTTCGTTAGCATAGATAAAAAAACGAGGTAATATCCTCATCGGAATTACTGATTTATTCGACGTAAAAAATAATTCAAGATTTCGGTAATACATAAAACTTGTTTTACAAAGTGAAATAGAGTCTCTATACTAATGCCTACCGGTGTTTCGTTTATCTAAGCTATCTATATACTAACAAAATTAACTTTAATCCGATTTCATTTGGATTTCTGGATAGAATAAAAATGGCCGTCAGTTATACTTATACGAGACATGCGGTGTCAGAAATAAACAAGCATTTACCTGAGTCCCGCCGAAAATTTATCTTTTGTGAGGTCAACGACAAATCCTGATCGAAAATAAGTATTAGTTCAACCAAAGTTATGACATAAACATCTCGGTCCCGGCAATAATTTTTGCCGACGCGATCTATCCTGATGAAACTTTTTTTTGGCACGAATTAACAAAAAAGAAATGCGGGAAAATGAATTGTATAGCAAAGCGTGTGTTGCCGGAAGTATCAGATTTGTCGTTGACGAAGCAGATGAAGAAAGCGTTGCTCTGGCGGAGTATGAAAACTTTTCTCGCAACCTAGCAACAATATTAGCAAGAGACAGGCAAGTGGTAGCAGTAACATTGATTCCCTACCCAAATAAATGTGAAGTTTACATTGCTAAGAACAACTCTTGGCTCGAAGAAGATATTGTGTATATCGACAAAATCAAGGAATACGTGAAAAGTTTGTCTAAAGATGCTCCCATAAAATTAAATGCTGCTTTGGAAAGGGGGGATGTGGGAAATTTATTCGGAGATGTATTGGAATATTGTTCTGCTAAGATCGATACTAGATTTGATAAACTTAAAGATGACATAAAGAAAGATATAATTAATAATTAACAAAATCAACATATTAGATCTTTCATGGATTATGCTTCAATTGACGCTGAGAATATAGATGATGCAAATGGATACGATTTAACTGAGACATGTAGTAGTTACTATGATGAATTCAAAAGTTCTTTAGCCCCGAAAAAATTTCTAAGACATATCAAAAATATGGGATCTTATTATACGGCTTTGATTGATATTACAGCATGTGCTTTTAAGGATAAATACAAACTCCTATTTTCTAATATGCATGTGCATAAGTTGGAACCCATTATCGTTCGTCAACCCATGTTTTCATGGAAAAATATTGTCAAAAGGTATATTCCTGATCCTGATCACGCAAAGTATGAAGAATTCAAGAGGAGATGTTTGGATGATTTTTTCACATCAAAAAGACTAACCGATGCATATGGTAACGTAGATAGACTGGACGACGAAAGCATCAAACAAGACATATATTTACATGCAGAAATGAACTTGTTGACAAATATTATAGATCAAAAATATAAAGGCAGGGCAATTATAGCGGTATCTAAGAAAAGTTGTTACTTATGTGAATTATATATTAGATTTGTAAACAAAAAAGGATATAAAATCTACTACACTTCAGGAGCGCATAAGACATTATATTCTAAATGGTTACTTCCAAAAATAAAAGATACCGACCTCAGAACCGAATCCTTGAATTATATGATAAAACAACTTGATCAGGTCATTAATGAAGAAATAGCAAAACAGGTTAGCATAGTGGCGAGACCTGATAGTGATTGAGAAAGTGTGCAGTCTGGTAATGATCCTATTCGTAAAATAGGTGGTAGCTTGATTAGAGCTAAAACCCCAAGCGTAAAACTTGAATACATTAAAAATTTTAGTTTACTATAACTTTATTTTCGTATTTACATATATTTTTATCTATAACTTACAATTTATTCATTCACACTACACCAATTTGACGAAGCTTAATTAACAAATTGCTACTATATGATGAGATTTATTAATAAGTACAAAAATTTGCATTTTTAACAAGAATCTTAAATAAACAAGAATGAACACCAAATTAAAACATTGGAGTAGTGTTATTTCAAGTGAGAAAACCTAACCCTCTACCTAATGCTAATTTTTCGCCTATCTAATATGCTTCTATAACTTCCGAAGTAAATTAACCAATTCCCGACATAAGTATTCCGTTCCTATACCTATGATAACATAAATATTGATATTGCAGTTCTAATGCAAAATTTCGGTGCACACAACGTCCCATACCGCCTCATCAAATTCTATGATCAAGAAACATTAGCATACAACAACTTATGGAGTATTTTTAACTAGTTTATTCATTAGGAAAAAAAAAATAGAAAGTTACGTTATAAGTGGACAAAAGGGCTTCAACTACTACTGCTCAGGGACATCTATTGGCAGGATCATAAAATTGACAAAATTCATCCAGAAGAGCCGGTAATGCTTTTTTCTTCAATTGGTATTCTAAATTCTGGTTCAAAATCATAAAGCATATTTTAAAATGCTTCGTTTTAGAGGATAATTAATGGTTGACAATCAAGAATAATAAAAGTTATAAAAGACTTCTAAAGATAATTGACGCTTCATAATAATATACTTCATTACTGTTTTAATATCACCATCTGTATTAAAGAAATGATCTGTAATAGTTATAATTAGACAAAAAGATAATCTTAAGGAATTGCTAAAATCTAATGCAAATAGCATTATTTTACAACAGATCTTTGAACTTCTTTGTTAAAATAATAGTTATATTTGTATAATAATTTTATGATTAAACCAAGAAATGAAGCATTTGATATAGAATTATTTCCTAATCTAAATACATCTGAAAATATTAAAAATTGCTTAAATATTATTATTAAAAATTGGAATTTAAAGGATAAGTTTTGTAGCTATAACAGATAATAACTAAAATGCTAAATATACAATTTTTTTAATGAATAATGTTAATAATATAGGTTATATTACATACATTTACATCTTTCTGTTATAAAAAGCTTAACACTAATAAAATAATTTATTAAAAAAAATTAATAATCTTAATTTTTTTTTTTGCTTTAAATCAAAAATAAATAAAATTATAAAATAGTTAAAAGAAATATAAAAAATTGAAGATATCCTAAAATACTTAAAATAATTTAAGATATATACATATACAATAAAATAGTTTGTATTTTATATAAACAAGATTATTAGAATTAAAGGTTGTTATAAATAGCTAAAAAATATTTTATATTAACTTATATAAAAGATGATAAAGATAATATTGATTATTTAAAATTAATCACTTATATAATTAAAGTAAATATATATATTAATAATTATTTGTTAAATAAATACTAATTAAAACTTATCTTAATAAAATAATTTTTTTTAATTTTTTTAAATTTATTATAAGATTTAATAAAATCTTTAAAACTATTTTTAGATATTATGAAATTTTTATTTAGTTCAAATTAGAGTTTTAAACAGTACAAATCAGGTCAGATCAGATAAAGTAAACAGATTAACCTGATCTGATTCAAAATTCTATTTAAAATATTTTACCTTAAACTTTATGTATTTAATAATATATTATTTAATAAGTAAATTTACCTTCTAAAATAAAAAATCTGAAGATGATTTATTTAATTTAATTTATAGACTTATATAAGCTAATAAATTGAATATAGATAATTGTAAAATATTAAATTTTATTTTAATTATATTGTAAATATTAATTTTTAAAATTTATTTATTATAATTAAGGTACTATTACAATATAATTTACTGTATTAATTAATAATAAAAAAAATAAAATAGATTCAGATTATGAATTATTATGAATTCTTTAATTGAATTAAAATTTGTCATAATTCTATTAAGAAATGTAAGAAAAAAAAAAAAAAGACAGAGAAGAAAATATAAAAAACAAAAATTAATAATACAAAAGTAGACAAAAAATAAATACAGATTTTAAATTTCAAAATTAATGACTTATTGAAAATCCAATTATTATAAATGCTTTATCTAATAAAAATAATAGAAGCAATTACAGATTCTTAATTAAAAATTCTTAAATTTGTTAGTAATAATATTATCAAATTTTAAATAATTGAAAAATTACATAATCTTATTTTCATAAACAATTAGTAAATAAATATGATCATTTAGATCTTATTGATAATACAAATATCAGACAAAGTACAACTATATTTTTATCATCAAATTCTATTATTACTATACTTTTTGATAATAATAATAATAATAATATTGAAATTAATAAAATTGATATTTAATTGAATTTATAAATATTAAAAATGTGATTCACTTAATTAGTAAAAGAATAATTCAAAAAATTTCTTTATTAAACTGAATTATACATAAATACTTATCAATATTAGCAATTTCAATATCTAATGAAAAATGTTTAAGTAGTATATTATAGATATCGTAACTATTTAAATTTAGAATTAGTTAAGCAGCTTTATTTTTAAAATAAAATATAGTTTTATTTCTAATTTTTTCATTAATTAAATAGTTAAAATAAATTCAAAGATATTTTGTATAAAATTTTAAAGTAAATTTATTTAACGTTTCTTTTATGGTGATACTACATTTTATTTAATCATATGATATAATATTTGTATTAATACATGTTTTTATAAAAAACATTATTAAATATGTCACGTAATTTTAACATGTTTCATATTTCATGTTCCTGCATTTTAAAGTTAAAATTTTGTTAGTGATAATTCTTTATCATAGAATTGAACACTTGTATGACAATATAGTGTAAATATTAAAGTGAACTATTTTTGTGATATGAATTTATTTCTCTTTAGTCATTCTTTTACTAACCTAAGCTATTTTTTACTATAGACATTCTTTTGCTTTTTGTTCTCAATTTCATTTTTAATGATCTTTCAAAATAATGTATAATTGATAGTTTAACTTTACAAAAACTATAAATGAAAAAGCTAATAAAAGTTATATTTATTTTCATTATAATACTTATAATTCTTTACTAACTCAATTGTATTCTATAGCTTTTAAAGTTTTGCCTGAGAACCTTTTTTTTATTTCAGAAATGGACATTTCTAAAGAAATTATACATTCTCTAATATCTGTTACTAGTTCAGAATTTGAAGTTTTTGATAATGTTATTGAAAACATCAACTCAACCTTTACAATATCTCTTTCAATAATTTCAATTTCAATGTAAGTTTTGCCAACAGTTTTACCACTTATTTCTCTAAGAGTTTTATCACTTATTCCTCCAACAGTTCTGTCACTTATTTCTTCAACAGTTCTATTACTTATTCTTTTAATGATTCTATCACCTATTCTTCTAACAGTTTTAATGAAAGATAATTTTATATCTTTATCTGCTATTTCTTTACTACTTTCTGATTTTTTAGCTCAAGCTGAAGCTGAAGTGTTTATCAATACTAATTCTTTAGTTTAGGCTTAGTCTATTAATACTGATTTTTCAGTTCAGGCTGAGATTTTTATCAACACTGATTTTCATATATCATCTTAAATTTTAGAATTATCTATTGAGAATCATTTTACTTCTTAGATAATCACTAAAGATCATATAAAAGAGTTTGAAAAGCAGAAGGGATTTATAATTAATTAGCATTAAGTTGAATACTATAAAAATCAATCATCTAACTTGACTGAATGAAGTGTAAAAAAAAAACTTACATGTACAAGTATTTTGGAAAGTATAAATCTCGTGAGATGAAAACAATTGAGTATCAACATAATAAAAAATCAAAAAAACTAACTGTAAATGACATATTAATTTAAGCAAACACAAAAAATGATAATTTAGTGTATTTAACCTTTATACATTCTGACTATAATCACAAATTACTTGCTGATAATGCAAATTTGCTATAAAATTTTGAAGGTTTAATAATCCTATAATAAAAGAAATTAAGTGTGCAATTATATATGATTGTTGTGATGCATATACTATATGAAATTTATTGCAACTATTATTTTCTGATTGTCTTTTTCTTATTCAAGATCTATTAAATGCTATTTAGAAAATCAAATGCGATAATCAAATTATTAGATCAGATACTTCTTATTTGTTGAAATTTCTTCTTAAGCAGCAAAAAGAAGACTCTACAATATTTAATCAATGCAGATAGTGATAGACTTTATGGTATATTTTGAATGATATCAAATCAAATTTTATTATGGTCTCATTATTTTAATATTATCTTATATAATAATACTTCAAAAATAAATAAGTATAATTATCCTTTATCATTATTTATAATGATGGTAAGTCCCATTTGGAAGTATAAGCTTTTTTAAATGATAAAATTCAAGAAAGTTACAAATGGATTTTGCAACAGACATTGGTCACAACAGGTTTAGAATCTCAGGTTATAATAACTGATATGGATCTTGCAATGAATGTTGCATATCAAAAAATATATAAAAATACATACCATATTCATTGTATTTAGCATATACTGTATTTTAAAATCTGCTTAAACGTCTTAAACATAAGCTTAAAACTGCAGATTTCAAATATTTGTTAAAGATTTTTAGATGATACATAATTCATTATGTTCAAAGGTTTTTGAACAACAATTTCAAGTTTTGTTAGAAACCTTTCCTAATAGTAATAATTATTTGTGTAATACAATTTATCCAATTTGATATTTGTAGGCTCAGGCATTTACAAGTCAAATTTTTACAGCTAGTATGCAATTAACACAGTATGTTAAATCTATTTATGGCATGAA